GTTTTATTGTCCGATCATCAGGAAGTGCGGAATTAGTATGCTGGTTGTTATTAGTTTTACAGTGAAGGCAAAATTCTATATTTAAACGTTGTGAAAAGTGCTTCTAAACTCATTGTGGTGAATAATTAGAATACATAAGATAAGTGTGGCTGTTTCAGATGACCTAGTTCTGTTTTTCACGTTTAAAAATCAGGAAACTGAGGTAAGATTTTAGTCTTTTTGAGTGCAATAGGCTCTATTCACGCTTACGTCACAAACTAGGAAGACGTTTGGAAAGATATGATTACAACTTCGGGTGTACTGTAGTTACCGACATCGGGCTCGTCTAACATGGATCTATTAAAACTGACCCACTGAAGTAAATGTGATCAGCTTTAAAATGAAGTCTGCGTATACGTATGTGGTGTTTGGAATCATCTTGAATTTGGCGCCTCATCTCTTCTAATCGCAAGTACCCAGTGCAGTCGGAGTTGTACGTCTGTGGGGAAATGATGAAAACTGAGGTATGGTTGTAATTGTTGATTAGGCGAACATAATGGAACACTACAACGAAGAAGATGTAGATGAAGATCTGGGCCGGGAAGTTGTAATCGTATCTTTCCAAACGTCTTCCCGATTTGTGACGTAAGTGTGAATGGAGCCTATAAGCGCCATTTTTCGCTCCAGAGGCAAATAACATTAAGTTCTGTAATGATTTAGCTGTTACAATTTCTTCCTTTACCAATACAATCCCAAATCTCGGTAGCCGCAACTGCCCTGGAGACAAGGCTGCCAATCTACGCCATTGGACCCTTCAACCACTGCTAATGAATCACTCACCAAAGGCAAGGGGGGTGAAATGTCTTGCCCAATAACACCACAACAATAATCCAGTAACCATTGGGTTTTTGGGTAAGTTAAAACTGCTCAAATCAGTTTTAGCATCTTGTGTTCACGTCATTTTAACTCATGTAGATTTTATTTATTTTATTTTTTTTTATTTTTCGTTATTTCCTGTTTAATAAAGATGATGAAACGGTATGCTGTTTGTGTTCTTGCGTGTCAAAAGTGAATATTTTTATGTATTTTTTGAAATAGATTTTTATATTTTTTTTAAAGCAATGTGATTTTTCCCGTTTTTTGTAGTAAAAAAATGCAAAGTTAATATAAAAAAGTGCAAAATAAAAGCAGGCAACGTTTTCAAGTGACCACTGTTGGGCCATGACGTGTGGTTAACAGTTCAGTATTCATTGTCGAAACATAGCAAATAATTATTCTGTTGTGAACAAAATGCAAAAAAAAAAACAACAACAACAACAACAACAAAAAAACATTGAGTTGATTTTCAGTTTTTTGAGTTTTCGAGGCTTTTACCCCAAAATCGCTTCAAAGTTCCTCCAAAATGATTCATCTTCACTGGTAGAAAGATGGCGAAATCCGAATACTCGTCTTGATCTGATGCTTTGTTAGTTTCAGTCCAGAAATAAATGCCTAGCCTTGTTTCTATCAAGTTGCACAATTTGTTCAGATTTAAAAGTGATGCTGGATAAACATTTCTAAATAGGAAGTGCACCTTTAAAGCTACCATTCGTAATTAAACTGGCTGACCCGCCCCTGTTGTATTCTCGCATATCACCACTAGAAGCTGTCCAGGTTACCGCTTTCTGAGAGTTTACCAGCTTTGCCCTGACAGAAGAAGACCAGAGAACACAAGTCAGGAAAGGGGGAATGGGAAATGGTGAAAAAAAAAAACCCAACAACTTGCAGATGGTAGCTTTAAAGGGCTTGTACCTGATTTCCTTCCATGTATTTGAGACATCTGTCTTAACATTTATAATGCATAAGCAGCTCTTGAGGTCAAAACGAGTTTGTTGTCCAATTATAAAGCATTTATAAATAGTCTGAGAAAAACAGGAAGTGGGCTGTTAGCATGCTAGTGGCTGTTAGCGTCACCAGACTACCTACCTGTACAAATGAAGCAACGTAACCTAACCTAAGTTGTAAAACGCGCTTATAAACTAATGGTAACCGTAACTAACTTTCTAGTCTAAAAAAAACAAGAAAAAAACAGGAAATGGGCTGTTAGCATGCTAGTGGTTGTTAGCATTACCATAATGCCACACTGCCTACTTCTACAAATAAAGCAACCTAACCTAACCTAAGTTGTAAAAAGCGCTTATAAAGTCACTGTAAACCGTTTGAAATGTTTGGAACTAGTAACTGTAGCTAACTTTGTCGCCCGAGAAAAACAGGAAGTTGGCTGTTATCATGCTAGTGGTTAATAGCATTACCATAGCGCCAGACTGCCAACTTGTACAAATAAAGCAACCTAAATTAAATTGTATACAGTGCTTGTAAACTAACTGTAAACTGTTTGAAATGTTTGGAACTAGTTCTGTTTTTCACGTTTTTAGACAGAAAAAAAAAGGAAATGATAAAAAATTAAAGAGGTGAATAAAATACGTTTGTTAGCAACATTTTGGAGAATTATATGACACAATTTGGTAGAAACAAGGCTTTTTATGTTGTTGTTTTTATGTTGTCATTCGCTGTTTTCTCTCAGTCAATTCAAGCAATAAATCCCAAAAGTTCAACCTCTTAATCCAAAACGTATCTCCTCAAAGTTTTAAGACATTTTCCCAAATTTCAAAAAAAAAAAAAAGAAAAGAAAAAAAAAAAAAGAAGAAAAGAAATATTGTCATTTTAAGTAGAAAATTTGCTGAAAAAAGTGTCGCTGCGCATTGTCAGTTAGATCTCCCATAGAGACGCAACAATCTCGCATCTCCGCTTTGAGTCCCATTTGAGCCACCGTACCGGGGGCTGTCCAAGATGGCGGACGACGGGAGAGAGGGAGGTGGCGTCGGAAGGTTGGTAGTTCAATTCCCTCTGCTCTGCTCCTCGGTGCTGCCCTCTGGTGGCGGGGTATGAGCACGGGAGAGCCACGGAGCTGACTCGTTTCTTGGCGCGCTTCGCTGTACAAAATGTCAAAGTGCGTTCGCCAAACTCTGGATTGTCGGCAAAGATACAAGTTCAAGCACGAGCCTTTGTTCACTGTTGTTTTTCTTGATGTTGAAATAGGCTGCGACAGATGCTGCACTGCAAAAAAAAAAAATCTAAAAAGTTAAAATGACTTAAATTCAGATTCGTGATTTGAGTCTTATTCACAGGTACAGAGATAATTAGTTTCACTTTCAAGCTGTTTTTCTATAGGGCTGGCCCGATGATATGACCAAAATAATAAAATGCAAACTTTGGATGATTAAAATTTGTATCGATTTTAATCAAAGTTTATTTATCATATTTATCCAATTCTTGGGTTTCAGCTTCCTGTTTCATGCAACATTTTGAGGACTAATGGTGCGTTCGATTATCCATCTGTCTCCCATTCGGAGCTCAGATATGACATCACGCCCAAGCTTCAACCATTTTATGTTCCGTGCATAGACCATTGAACTGTTGTTATTAGTTTAGCGTTTTTAGTTATTGTTTTAGTTATTAGCTATTGCATTTATTGTGATGTGTGAGCTACTGTGCCCAACTAATTTCCCCTGTGGATCAATAAAGTTTATCTAAGTCTAATATGAATGGACATAGCTAAAACCCTAGCCTCCCCATTCCAATTTCGCGTGTCTGATTTGAAAAAATATGTGGACGCCAGCCTGAAAGCTGTTGTTGTTGTTGTTTATCTTCCGTTTAAAACAAGTCGATGTTCAATATTGGCCTCACCACAACACCAACTACCAAACCCATTGGCCAGGGTTCTCCAAACTTTAGCTCGGGAGCTACAAGTAACTCTCCACCCTCTTCCAAGAAGCTCGCCATGGGATTTCGGAATTACATGTATTGTCCATAATAACTCAAATTGGATTGATTAAAAGGCTATTACCACTGTAAATGTATAATTTTGATGACTAACGTTGCACTACAAAAAAGTATAAATATCTAACTGTACCTCATCTAAGGCCGTGGCTTTAGATGAGGTACAGTACTCAATTTCTTGTGAGCGCTAATAAGAGGAGCTCATTTTGTAAAAGTAGCTTACCGGAGGAAAAAGGTTGGAGACTCCTGGTATATACGAATGGACATAGCTGACACGCTAGCCGCCCCATTCCGATTTTGCGTGTTTGACTTGAGAACATAGAGAAAAATCCCGCACACCGTCTTACTAGAAAATTGTGAGAATTATTAGGACAAACTGTGAAACTTTTCGACACTAGGTCTTCATCAGGCAAAACCGAAGGCGAAGGCCTAGTGCCGAAACGTTGCATAGTTTGTCCTAATAAATCTCACACTTTGCAAGTAAGACAGTGTGCGGGATTTTTCTCTATGTTCTTGGGCTGCTCCGCCTCCTCCAATGCACCCGTCTCAAGTAAGTGATGTGCGATGTTCTCATTCTTTTATATGCTGTTATATGTTTGACTTGGAAAAAAAAAAGTGAGCTGTTTTGTTGTTGTTGTTTATCTTCTGTTAGCAACCTTCGGGAAGTTTAGCAACACCCATTTAAAACAAGTCTACGTTCAATACTGGCCTCACCACAACACCGACTCCCAAACCCATAGGCAGTGATACAGATGGAGTAAGGTATCGCAGTAATACGACTGACTCAAATTGTCTTTTAAACCACCAAAGTGTCCAAACACAATGACAACAGTTCATACTAGAAGTGACACTAGGCACAACCGTCTTGGATTCTATCTCAGAATCCTTGCTTGGTCTCATCTTGAGTTTTTCCGAGTTGCGCCGTGTGAGGAAAAGGGGCGTGTCAATGCGTGTCGCTAGGCAACATCCTCAGATGGATAATCAAACGCACCATTAATCCCATTCAAAAGATATAATATTTTGTCTTCAATTGTTCATCTCTATAGCAACAGTCCTAATTACTCATCATCCAGAAACCCGTGAAATCTAATTAAGATTTCTTTTTTTTTTTTACATGGGCATTTTTTATTTAGTAGTTCTGTTTCAATGTGTTTATGTAAAGTCAAGAGCAAAGTTGGTTCACAATAAATCTAGATTTCACAATAAATCTAGATTTCACAATTTTGAAATCTGTTACTATGTTGATAGTTTTAAAAAGATTGTCTAGCATTATTTTGCTAGTGTTGAAAATTGCACTTAAAATTAAAAAGTGTCCAGTCATTTTGGACCAGATTTTTTGTTTGCGTATTTGAGTATAATTGAGTTGGTGATAATTTAATTTGCTCACAACAGCATAATTAAAATCTGCTCAAAATCTTAAATTCAAGTCATTTTAACCATATACACTCAAAAAATCGAAATATTGACTTTAAATAAATGAACTATGCCAACGTTTTGCATCTAACTATTTTAGGTTAATTATTTTTTTAAAGTACATTTACTTGCTTTGGATAAACATAAAATAATTGGGTGTAAAATATAACTCAATACATTTAAGTAAAGTCAACATTTTAGCGTGTACGTATTATTTTTTGCAGTGCAGAGGTGGATTTTGAATTGCAAAGATGAGAAACGGCAAAAAGTTGAGTATTTGAGTACACTAACTACTTCGATATATTAGATTGCATGCAGAAAAATAAAAAAAGTGGTTACTGGTTATTGATAAGGTAAACTCCAAGACCCCAAAAGTGCTTGAAGACAGTTGGGGTTTGACTGAAAACGGACAAAACTGTGACTATTGTAAAAGTTGTGGTGAAGTGGTAGAGAAAAACAACAATCTCGCAACAATCTCCTCCATTTTGTTGTTGATGTCCCATTCGGGCCACCGTACTGGGGTTGCCCGCGGTGGCGTCCGGCTGGTGCGGGGGACAGGAGGGAGGGAGCCGGGGGAGGGTAGTAGCTGAGGGGTTGGTGGTTGGATTCCCTCTGCTCTGCTCCTCGGTGGTGCCTGGGAGCAGGAGGAGCGGGAGGTTGCTAGCTCGATTCCCTCCGCTCTGCTCCTCTCTGCTGCTGTCCTCTGGCGGTAGGACTCAGATGTGGCGCTTCATGTGCAGAGCCAGGTGGTCCGACCGAGAGAAACACCTGGAAATATGAGAACAAGGGTTAGAATTTGATTAGAGGGTTTCCTTGCTGCAGTGGGGAGGAGAGGCGGGGTCTGGAGGTATAAGGAACAATGTGATTGGTCAGGCGTCCGCACTTCAAACTCCGCCCCTGCAGCTACGTGTTTATAAACTGAAAGGCCTGGCTCTGATCAGGGTAGTCTTTCATGATGTCACCAACTACTTGAAATTGCAGAGGCCACTGAAGTTGTAACAGCAAAAACTTAGGCTACGTTCAGACTGCAGGGCTTAACGCTCAATTCCGTTTTTTTTGTGAAGTCCGATGTTTTTGCGAGGTCGTTCACATTTCCAATTAAATGCAACTTGTATTTGATCTCCAGTGTGAACAGTAAACGGCCCAAAAGTGTCCCGCATGTGCACTGGAGACACGATGACGTCGACCGCAGTGAGCGTGCTCTGTGTTTACGGAAGTTGTCCAAACATGGACGTGAGCATTGAGCACCTGGAGATTTTAAAGTTCCTCTCGTACCAGAGCCAGAACATGAACAACTTATTAGTTTTAAGGAGGAGATTGAGAAGGAGAAGGACGAGGTTTTTGGCCGTGGTGTTGAAAGGAACGTGTGGATGCAGAGACGGAGCCAAGAGTGGTGAGTGGAGATGTGCTTCGCTTCAGTGGCACAGAGTTCATTAAAAGTTTTTGCCTACTTCAGCGCAGAATAGTGACGTTTGTGTCTTGTTGATAACGTGTAGGTCGAATGAATGCGCTTTGGCCGTTCACACTGAAGTCGCATGTCAAAAGATCAGATATGTATTGGTTTCAGGAGCACATATCCAAGTGGCCTGGGTCGCATTTGAAAAAATCGGATCTGTGCCGTTCAGACTGTCATTAAAAGATCGGATACAGGAACATAGAAGCCAAAAAATCTGATTTGGGTCACTTCAGGCTGCGGTCTGAACGCAGCCTTAGATTTAGATCTCAAAAGGTGCATACAGTATTTACCAGGTTTGCGCTAAAGTTGTCAAAAAATAACATCAGATGACATCACAACATCCTATAGGCCAATGAGGGCTGGGTGACACGGCGATGAAAATGGAATCGTGTTCAGTCCTCTGACGATAGGTTTGGTGACTGGTGATATTGTTCTATGGTGTTTCACTGGGTCTCTGTTTAATGCAGCTGAATGCTCAAACATAGACCACTCCCCACCCACTCCTATTAGGCTTTGAGTGCATACGTTAAGTGAGGAATGACTTTGGACCACTGCAAACCGTTTAAAATGAACTCGGTCTGTTGCATTTTTACGTTTTTAGGGCAGCCATGTCTGGCATTTTTAAAAGTTATTTTGAAGTAAGTAAGTTTTGATTTATATAGCTCTTTTCACAGACATATGTCACAGAGACGCTTTACAGATCATTATTCATTCCCTCTGACCACCACCATCACTCACACACACACACCACTTTCATACCAGGCAATGTGGGTAAAGTGTCTTGCCTAAGGACACCCCTCCACTGTGGCACCTGATTTTCCCAGTGGTCTCCCATCCAAATACTAACGAAGCCCGGCCCTGCTTAGCTTCTGAGATCTGACAGGATCAGGCTTTGAGAAACGGTATGGCCAGTAAGTCTTATATTACGCAAAATTGACTCTCATGAGCTTTAACCTGTGTTAGATAGTACCTCATTAAAAACATACTTGGAGTTGTGTTTGGTTTCATTCACACATGTTTGAGTAACAATTTATTATTAGTCTGTTTACGTTGCCAAAGTCTAATGGTAGTTTTCAAGTTAACAGCTCCTTTTACCTTTAATTCAGTAAAACTTGGCTATTTCTAGGGACTGAAATAATCCAAATGATTCTAGTGAAGGTGTATGGAGTACACACCTGGATTGATATAGATTCATATTAAGAAAAAGTTTTTTGTGTTTTTGTCTTTAAGTAGATGGTAAATTAAGTTTTTATTATTAAGTTAGAAACAAGTGCTTGCCAAAAGTTCCAAGGAATTTACTGCATATGCACCTACCGACTTTGGGGGAATGCAGCTGCTATCTCGACTTAATGCAGGGTTTGTGCATTAAACGTATGAATGAACCAAAATGAAATGAAACACAACTCCACGTCTATAGGTGATGATATAACATAAATCTGAAAATAGTGTAATGTGGGCCCTTTAAATGCTGTTATTGCTTTTCGTTTGGACAGAATACTAGCTCAGAAAAACTAGTCCTGGTTGCAGTCCTGATGCAGTCTTGGTTTGCTCCTGGTTTAGTCCTGATTTAGTCGTTGCTCTAAATATTTGAAATGAACCCTCCCATCTCCTCTCTCTCTCCTCTGCTGTATTTCTGTCCATCATTTTAAATCTGTTCTGTCTTTATTTTCCTGTGAAGACATAAAAGTGCCTGTAAAACCAGCCTGTGATAATATGATTGAGTGAAAGACAAAATACAGCGTCTGTATAATGATTTTAACGAGAAATTTAAAATGCCTTTTGCCTGAGGGTTCATTCATTTTTAATTATCCTTTATAACAGAGAGAGTGGAGACATGACAGCCCAACGTAAGGCACATCTCAAGGTCATTCTCACTGGATAAGCAGCTCGTTTTCAATGAGAAAAGTGAGAATATTGTACATTTTCTCACCACAATTTAGAAAAAGAAGCCTCCTTATTTAATTTCACTGCTTAGAAGATAACATATTCCTAGTCTAGTCCTGATCCTGCTAAATGTAATATTTTTTACCTGTCGCAGTGGTTGCACCTGTCTCATCTGTGTTTATATATAAGTAGTATATTCCTCACCTGTCACAGTAGTTGCATTCAAAAGAAATTACCTGTCTCAGTGGTTGCACCTGTCATGTTTGTAAAATATTGCTATCTTTCCTCACATTTAAAGGGGCGGGCTCCTGTGTGTTTGCGGTAGTGTTGTTTTTATGTTTTGTGTCGTATATTGTTGTGTTACAGTTGTATATTACCTGTCGCAGTGGTTGCATTTAAAGGGGCGGGCTCCTGTGTGTTTGCGGTAGTGTCGCGTGAGCTCATCACTGCGGGCGAAACGCCACTCACAGCCCTCCCACGAGCACTTGTACGGCTTCTCTCCTGAAACACACACAAGGAAAGAGGTTTTTAATCAACCAAACTTTACAACAGACTCCTGGTCCAGAGTTAAAAGACACAACACAAAATAAAAACAGCACTCCTCCAAATATAATGCACCATACATTTCTTCTGACACTTAAATATGGACATTTGCTTCATTTGTTAAGTATTGAGCTGAAAGAGCTTAATAACAGAAATGATCCATTGACTTCCTGTTCAAAAATGCAGAACTGAGAAGATCTCTTCAGAGTGTATGTTATTAAGTTCTTTTTCCAGAACAAGGGTTTGTTTTCATACCTAAAACAAACATAAATTATCGGAGGACCAAATGAACCTCATTGGACCTTTTGTTTTTCATTGTAAGGAAGCAGGACAGTTTCTTTTATCTGCATTCATTTTTGAAAATTAGCAAAAGTTTTGATTATTTGTGTACAACCCAGAGTCCGAAACGAAATGCACATAATTACAGAGCTGTGGGTGGGGATAGGGGCTGAGGGAAAACAGAAATATTTTGTGCAATAAAGCCTCAGATGCAGGGCAATACAAGATTTCTCCCACAAAATGGCTAAGTGAGTAATGAAGAGTAACTACTAATAACAGGGTTCCCACTCTTTTTCACTGACAACATTTCAAAACCTTTCCATGACTTTTTCATGTAAAGAAGTGAATTTTCCATGAACTTACAGCAAATATGAAATGTTTGTCATGGTGTTAATTTTCATTGAATTATTTTATTATTCTTGACCTGGTTTGACATTGTTAATTCAGCTGTGTGTTTTTGAGTTTTACTTCCTGTTGTATTAATTGTTTACCTGCCCTAATGTGTCTCACCGGTGTCTGATTCATCAGTGTGTATATATATATATAAATATAAATATATTATATATATATATTCTACTTTGCCCTTTGTCATTATCAAGTGTCTTATCTGTATGGATTTTTTGTGTTTGGTTGTTCTTTGTTATATTAAACAATTTTACAAATGTAGTCCTTCATTTTTGGGTCCTCCCTCTGCACTAAATGTGACAATGTTAACTCTTTCCTCTCACCTTATGGTTTGGGATTATAGTTTTTTAATATTCAAAATACTGTCAGTGCATTTATTGTCATATCTTTTAAACAAAAAAATCTTAACCGCCTCATGAGAACTTAACAGAACGCTGTAGTTGCATGAAAGAGATACTAAAATTCCATGACTTTTCCAAAACTTTTGCAGGCCTGGAGAATGACATTTTCAATTTCCATGACTTTTACAGGATTTCCTTGATCGTGTGAACCCTGTAATAATAATCAATAACATCTTACATCATTTCCAGGCATTTAACAACTACATACAGTGTTTTTGCATGATTCCTTCACTTCACACTCGGTGGTGGTGAACTACTAATGGAGCCACAGTTGTCCTGGGACAGAATGACAAAAGTGAGGCTGTCCATCTGCACCATCGGCCCCTCCGACCACCACAATCACACACAAAACATTCATACTAGGCAATGTGAGTGAAGTGTCTTGCCTAAGAACACGACAGTATGTACAAGACTTGTCTCAGAAATCAAACCCGGGACCCTCTCGCTGTGAGGGGTGATATTTAAGGGGTCAAACTTGAAACATAAAAGTTTTGTGAAGAAGCTGAAAGTTTGTGAGTTTGGGGATGACCTTCACTTCAGACGGTTTATTTTTTATTTTATTTCGTATTTTTGAGTGAAGTTTAAAGACGCAGCGAGCGAGTGATGATGCAATGACAGGTAACGCTCGGCAGGACCACTCCACTGAGGAATTACATGTCTTTTACATTTAGAAAGAAGGAGATAGAGAGAGAGAGAGAGAGAGAGAGAGAGAGAGAGAGAGAGGGCCTTTGAAGACATCATCCTTTCACCACCCCTTCTCTCCTTCTCTCCTTCTCTCCCTCCATCTCTGTACCTGAGGACAGTGCTTCCTCGGCCCCATAGTGTGAATATTCAAATGAAAGACTCATATTTCAGAGTGGAAATAGGAGCCCACGACTGTGTTAAAGAAAACATATTATGCTTTTTGCTGTTTTGAAAATGAAACCCTAAAGTTGCACTAGGTCACTTTTGGGTTGGGGATCCGTGACCTGCTTATTTCTATGGATTTGTCACTGCTCTGCTTGGAATGTTCCAAAGTGTGACATTAAAGAGCTCTACTTTGCATTTATTCAATGACAGGTGGTTTTGTAGCTCAAACATACGCAGAAAAACAGACATTCTGGCTGTGAGCGGGGTCGCCTCTCCACAGATCTGACCTGTACCGTATTTTTCAGGCTATAAGTCGCACTTTTTTAGGTTTGTTTGGGTGTTTCCTGCGACTTATATATAAAAATGTTCACACTGATGCGAGAGGTTCTAGTCTTGTGTGTGAGTATCTGCTGCTCCTGTTCCTCCTGTACCACTGTCACTTCACTCTACTGCACATGTCTCCTGCAAAAAGAGCCTCTGTTCTGTCTGTATCATGTCAGTCGATCGCACCATTACTTCTGTAACACTGAAAATTTAATATTTAAACAAACTTATAAAGATGACTGATTTTGCAGATTACAAGCTGCAAGTAGAGAAATATTCAGCAAAAAACGGTAATCGAGCAGCAGAAAGAAAGTTTGGAGTGAGTGAGAAACTTGTGACACCGGGAGGATGCACCATGCAACTTTCCTGAAGTCACTGGATGGATGGACAAAGCCTGAACTTCAGTGACATTGAAACCATCCTGTTGGGAATTCAGAAAGACCAGAATAATTCTAACTGGAACTGATGCTGAGTCTGACGACAGCTACACAGAAGAGGAAACAGCGCTCTGTTTACCTCCGGAGGTCGAGGCCGAGTTGTTCAGAAGTGACATGAGGATGAAGAATTGAATGGATTTAGTGATTTGGAGTGAGATGGAGAGTTTGATAAACTTGTTCTGTTCTGTTGTTTATGTTACAGTTATTTGAAGAACTGTTCATATGTGACGTTAACAGTCTGTTGTTCTCTGTTCTATTGTTTTACTAGAACTTGACTTTACACATGTCAGTTCCTGGTCTCGGATTTTATCATTTAAATATCCCTCAAAAAGTGTGACTTATATATGTTTTTTTATTCCTCATTATGCATTTTTTGGCTAGTGCGACTTATAGTCAGAAAATTATGGTAACTTGGTCTGGTGTGGTCTCCATGAAGATAGAAACGTTTTAATGCCATACTGTGAAAAATTCCAAGCATTTGATGGACCCTCCAACAGAAAAGTTACACAATGCACCTTTAACATGCATACATCATCATTTTACATTTTGTTCACTGTAAAACTGCTTTTTTGTATCTAGAATGCCTTCATAATACAAATAAAAACCCTCCTTAATAATACAAAAAAAGGTCAGTTGATTTTTGTTGTGTCCTTGGGCATTGTCCACATGTGCTCTTATATGTGCTCAAATGAGTATCTAGTTTCAGTATCTGACTTTCGATACTTTTGCAGCTGTGGCAGTGTAACGTTCCACCACGACCACTGAAAAAATAAAGCCGTGCAGCGTCTGAATGTATGAAAAGTGCTATCAAAATGTAAAGCATTCTAATGTTTTTAATGGTGAGTGACACATAAACCAGTCCAAACACTGGCCTTTCACAATCACAACATTATGACACCTTCACTCTGAGTGTCAGGTTAGAAACAGCTCCTGTCACTTCACGTTTATCCTCCTCACGCTCTGCCTCTCACTCCATCTCTCCCTCCCTCTCTCCCTCCATACCTATGCTCCATCTTTTCTTTCTTCCATTCTTCTCTCTCTCTCCCTCATTCACTCCCCTTTCTCTCTCCTTCCTTCCTTGCTCCTTCCTTCTACACCTCCCTCTCTCTATCCCTCTCTCCACCCTTCATTTCTCTCTCTCTCTCATATCTCTGGCCCTCTCTTCACCCTGTCTCTCTCACCTTCTTCTCACACCTCCTTCTCTCTCCGTCAGTCTCTCTCTATCCTCATTCTCCTTCTCTCTATCCCTCTCTTCACCCTCTCTCCCTTCCTCCCTCTCTCACCATCCTTCTTTCTCCCTCTCCCTCCTTCTCTCTCTCTCTCTGCCCCTCTCTTCACCTTCACCTTCATCTCTCCCTCCTTCTCTCTCTCATCTCTCTGGCCCTCTCTTCACCCTGTCTCGCTCACCTTCCCACATCACCCCCTCTCTCCGTCAGTCTCTCTCTATCCTCATCCTCCTTCTCTCTATCCCTCTCTTCACCCTCCTTCTTTCTCCCTCCCTCTCTCCCTCCTTTTCTTTCTTTCTCTCTCTCTTTTTTCATGCTGAACCTCTTCCCCTCTCTCTCCCTCCTTCTTTTTCCCTCCCTCTCTCCCTCCTTTTCTTTCTCTCTCTCTTTTTTCATGCTGAACCTCTTCCCCTCTCTCTCCCTCCTTCTCTTTCTCTCTCTCTCCCCCTCTCTTCACCCTGTACCTCTCCCTCCCTCGCTGTATCCCTCATTCTCTTTCTCTCACCCTCTCTTCACCCTGTACCTCTCCCTCCCTCTCTCCCTCCTTTTCTTTCTCTCTCTCTTTTTTCATGCTGAACCTCTCCCCTGTCTCTCCCCCTTCTCTTTCTCTCTCTCTATCTATCCCTCTCTTCACCCTGTGCCTCTCCCTCCCTCTCTTTCTCTCTATCCCTCTCTTCACCCTCCACCTCTCCCTCCTTCTCTTTCTCACTCTCTATCCCTCTCTTCACCCTGTACCTCTCCCTCCCTCACTCACTTTCTCCTTCCTTCTCTTTCTCTCTATCCCTTTCCTCACCCTGCATCTCTCCCTCCCTCTCTCTCTCTATTCTTCTCTTCACCCTGCACCTCTCTCTCCCTCTTTCTCTCTCTCTATTCCTTTCCTCACCCTGCATCTCTCCCTCTCTCTCCCTCCTTCTTTCTTTCTCCCTCTATCTATCCTTCTCTTCACCATGCACCTCTCCCTCCCTCTCATTCTCCCTCCTTCTCTTTCTCTCTATCGCTTTCCTCGCCCTGCATCTCCCCCTCCCTCTCTCTCGCTC